GGTTTGCAGCAGCATGATAAACAGTTGGTGTTACTGGAAGTGCCCTAATGTCCTGCATCTCAAACTGAGAGTCATTTCACCCTTTCACAGGGAACTTACTGATCCTTAAGCATGGGAAGAGCAAGATGTGAATGGACAAAATTCTGACTCCAATGCTAGGTGTTTCTGCTGTTTGTTTCACCCTGTGCTTTATTACCCTGTGTTAGACCCTGTAGTCCTCATCGAGGCAGGGCACCAGTGGTCTGAGCAGGGCACTGCGGCTGAGCCACCACGAATACAGACAGCATCAGGAGTCTGCATTCCACCATCTTGCTTTACCTTGCACCTGAATTATCCACTTGGGTGTGCACAGGACATACATAGCAGAAACTGCCATAAGCTGATAGTTAATCTAGGACTAAATGAAGTGACAGTGAATAGTAAATAAGGGTCAGGACCTTCTTGGGGCAATGGTGAAAACTAACTTAGTATTGCAAGTCCAAGCTTGCCAGACTTCAAGACTATCAATAAATTGGAGTGGGTTTTGTTCAGTAGAGATGCAAAAATAAGAGGTTTCAAAAGTATTTTTGATGAAGGGGAGCTTTGTCTCATCCCACTGATGTGTGCTGGACCAGACTATATCTATCAAGTAATTTCTAGTGTTGCTTTCTTCAGCTTAGGTCCACTGCCATCAGGGTTGGCATGGCTGTGCTCCATCTGAGGGTCAGGCCCTCTTCTACCTTTATTGTTTAGCAAAGGTTTTTCATATTGTTGGCAGCTTGCCCTTAGAAAATGAATCTTTTCTCTACAGGCTTACATGCAACTGAACGTGCTAAACTAGCACAGAAGTATTTGGGCTCGTGCCAGCATCGCAGGGTTGTGTAGCTCTAGGATCTGATGCCCCTAAAAGTTTATCTGTAATTTTCCTGGCTTGCTCTTCGTTTAACGTTCTTTGTCTGCCATTCCAAATTCCAGCAGATGCACCTATATAGAATTTCCCTGAAAAATGATGGCAACTATATTGGAGAAGGTAAAAATATTGTTAGAACTTTTTTTGTGATGCATCTAGACTATGCGCTTCAAATTAGGGGTTAATAAAAAGTGTTATTCAGTATTCCAGGAAATTGTCGAGATCACCAAGTATTGTACTGACTTGACCTGTGTTACATTGAACTCACTCTTTCCATGTTTCCAATAAAAACATACAGCAGATTGTTCCAGAACCAGTGTCAAACTCAGTTAAAAATAAATCCCCTCATAATTTACATGTGTAGTGTATATCCTAAATATATTGCCCAAAAATATATCTCTTACAAGGAAAACTATCTAAAATATATCAGCCCTGAAATCTCCCCTTACCCTTGGGTCTTACGCAAAAAATCATGGTTTTCAGTTATAATTCCTAAAAGTTAAAATAATCCTTCCTCACTTGTAAGCCACCTAATCCTATTTGTTTTACTCTGTTTTTATTGCAACACTGAACCAGCTTTGTTTCGTTCAAGTGCAGGATTTGTAAATAACTAATTATAGCCCTGTTTTTTCCCCTTGAGGCATTAACATTTGGCACCTCGAAGAACAGCCCCTTTTCAGCTACCAGACAGTTCAGGAAAGCGGTGGACTCGGTCTCAAAACAGTAGGGTACTGCTGACAAGCTCTCTCGGACCACTTCACCTCCTGCTCTTGAAACAGCAACCAGAGGAGCCAGAGGGCAACTTTAGGAAAATATTTTTCTCTAGTAGCAGTAACATCTGCCTCCTTGGCAGCCTCCGCTGGCAGTTGTGTTGGAAGCTGTGGGTTTGCCCCTGGCCCTGCTGCGTATTTACATTGCTGAGAGGTTATCCTGAGCTCCGCTGGATCCTGTTACCTGATTTTCTTTTGTTCTGTCATCTTCCCTCTCTGATTCTTTGGCTGCTTAACTCTTTATGGGTAACATGTAAAGCAAAAATTAAGTGTGCAGTATGAGCTGTAAAGTATTAATTTGAAGGTATTAACTGGTAAATTCCTTTTTGATTAGAGAGTCAGCTTTTCTGATCTGTTTAGCTGTATTTATTTTGCTTCAGCCTAGGCAATTTCACCACCGCCATCCGAGCTTTTGAAGGTGCTGCTCTCCACATTTGTGTCTTCTGCTCTGCATCAGATTCTCTTTGGTGCTCTTATTTCTGCTGCATTTTACTCTCCTCTTCTGAGTAACTGATTTTTGACTGGTGCTTCATTTTAGTGGAATGATGTTGTTATAAAGACAATTATAAAATAATCAGCACGGGCATATCAATATTTATTGAAATACTGAAAAAAAAAATAAAATTCCATTGGTGATGAGAAACTCCTGGCAAGAACTGACATGACAATATGTATTTCACCGATACAGTAAGAGAACTTCAACTTCAACAAGTAACTCACTGCACATTCTAAGAGTTGCATGGATTTAAATCCAAGGCAGCTGCAGAACATCTGTAATACAAATAGTCAGACTTTACAGATTGTCTGTTTACAAACACAGAACAACTATAATAAACCAGCCAAAGCCAAACCCTTTGAATTTTAGTCTGCTTTTGCTAATATAGCCTATAATCAATAAGGCAGTCAGAAGTAAATATCTGGTTACAAAGTAGTTAACAATTAACATGAAGGGGGTGTGTGTGTGATTTTTTTTTTTTTTTTTTTTTTTTGGTTTTGTTTTTTGTGTGTGTGTGTGTGTTTTGTTTTGTTCCCGTACTTTGGGCAATCTGGTGGGATTCTTGGAACCACAGATGTGGGCAAATATATGTTAGTTTGTCTGAAATTGTTTCCATTAAACTGTATGAAAAATTGTTCTTTCTTCTATGTCCTTATTTTGATTCTTTTGTCCCTTATATAGATAATGGTGCTGTGAATACAGTTAGCAACATTTTTTTAAGCTTTTTGCTTGATATTTTGTAAGATTCACTGTAGCGTTTCAACAGGAAAAAAATGAGAAAATACAGAATGCAAACAGCTGAAATATGCTTTGTTTTTCTTTCAAAAAGGAAAGAATGACCACACTTGTACACGTGGGTAAACATATTTAACAGCCACTGTCAATTGCCACCTGCATCTTGCTTTCTGTTAATTTAGTTCGTTTGAGGGAGAACGCTGCTGTTTAAACAACGCTTGCATGTCTGTGTGCGGGATGACTATGGGAGCTGTGCTCGGTTTGCTTTTGGTCCGTACGACAGTACGCAGGTTCTGTGGTATAAGACAGGCATCTAGGGGTCGCAGACACTGGGCTTTGCTGTGTTTGTACCCTATGCATGGACAGAATATTAGAGCTGATTAATACAGGCAGTTAAAATAGTGTGCTTTGTTCTAATGTGGATGTAATAACTGATGTCTTTGGTATACAATGTATGAATGGTTGGAAAAAAGTACGAGAAATGCACCTTTTCAAGTTCACATGAAACAGAAAAAGCTATAACTCACATAATTTACAATAGATTTAAATAAACTACACTTAGGATTATGAAGATTTACAGACATTTAATCAAGTGAATGATCTTAATTTGTAAAGACCCTTGTGTGTCCCTGAACTATGTTCCACTAACTTGAAGACATGCTACAGTAAACACATATATTTGGCTTCTTCATTCTGGCTATATCTTATATAAAGATGAAACCAAAGAACAATAAATTAGCATCATAATTGTCTACAGTGAAAACTATCATATACAATATAAATAAACTATTCAAAAGCCAGCAATCTTCATGAAAAAAATTAAAGGATTAGGACTTTTTACAGTTTCTACAAGTGATTGTGCAGCCGATAATCTCAAAAATTAAGTCAAAACGAAATACCCCTATTGATTTTAGTGTCTCACGACATACAGTAATTAAGTACTGGTAAAAAAATTACCAATTTAAAAGAAATAATAAGGAAATCACTGCTCTGCAATTTTATCACAGTTTTTTCCCCACAGGACCTAAATAATGTAAACACTATGTTTTTGTTAATGTTAGAGATTAATACTTTATTTTAAATGTATGTTGATCCACACCTGCACAGTTACCTTTAAGGGTAATGAAATAAGGCAAGACTTAAAACTGTGGCACTACATGTTAATACTGATATCTTCATTTGGACAGAGAGAGAATTGTTTGTTCTTCTCTAATATTTGTTCTGCAGCAGACTTTGGCCTATATAGACATAGCAGTATCACTCTTCTTTCTTTGTGTAAAATATGTGTATTACCTAACTTTTAAAAAGAAAAAGTTTCATTAGGTATTTGATGTTCGAGATGAAAATTAGTGTCTTAATTACTGGCAATTTTAATGACAATTTCTTAATCAGCTCCATGGCATCAGTAGGTGATACAATTAATTTGTCTATTCTTGCATCACTAAATGCATTTTTGTTAAATTTTATTTTTAGTTTTTGGTGTCCTAATGTTTTTTTGTTGGTGGTTGTTTGATTTTTTTTGTCAAAGAAGTTATTGTTTGTGATGGCTAAAATATCTTCATTTCCTTTGTTTGGAAATGGCCATGAATATACAGCAAAGCTGTATTTTAGCCACTGCCCTAGTTAAGTATAGAGTTGAATCAGATACTTTTTTTTTTTTTTTTTTTTTGAATATTTCTCTTAGCTGTTTAATGGCTATCCGATAACAGTAGCAGAAGAGGGATACTGCCTGGTAGAACAACATGAACACGTGACAAAACAAACTTCAGAACATAGTAAGAATGCCAAGCTAACTGGACAACAGACTTCATATTAGCGATTTGCAGGCCTGAGAGACTGGCAGTCAAAACCAGCCTCTTCGGATTTGGTGGCGATACTACATAGCACGTGGCCCACGGCAGCTCTCTCTTACAGATTGTTGAATGGATGCCACATCATTTATCACAGAAGAAGTAAGTGTTGGGTCCTTGGAAGGGTGACAGAAGATGCTATAGATGCAGTTTTGCATCTATTATAACTGTTTTAGAAGTCCTGCTATACAGTGGAGGAATTTAGTGCACTTGAATTCCCCACTATCTTAGCTTGATAATATGGATCAGGTTTTTTTTCTCCTAAGTTTCTTCATATTGACAATCATCAGAGTTAAATATACAAGAATCATTCTGTCCTTTTTCATGTTGACATTGGTGATAGTATCCACTTGTAAGTTCACTCCAGTATAAAGTCCTATATAGATTCCTTTGGGGATGTGTAGCATATGATTCACAGTTTGCAATACAAATACCCTGATACATCACTTATTTACTATTAGTATTTGATTATTATACCATTTTGCAAAGTCTTAAAACCACGTTTTAATTAGTGTTGCTTGGAGCAGTTCAGAATATATTTCTTTTTTTCCTTGAAAGCAGAAGCTCTAATGGGTATAATTTATGCTCTCTTTGCATGCAGCATTTCAATGAGAAGGTTATTACACGGCACATCCCCGTTCAGGTGTTTGTAATAGAGGTATTCTTCGGCCTGCATACTGATGGCCCGGATTTCTGGTAGTCGCAGGAGAAGCTGCCCAAATTTGTCTGTTTGCTGTGGATAATTACACATTGTGTAGTCCAGCAGAGCAGCATTCACTTGTTCCTGAACACCTTCCACAAGCTGGAAGTTCTCAAGATTTTTGACATCTGAATGATAACAAAAAAAAAGTAACAACAATTCAATTGCATTTTAATTCCTGTTTACGAAGGCAGTGTTTCACTAAATGGAGGGTTGTGTTTTTTTTTTTTTTCCTCCTGACAAAAGCATACTTTACAAGCTGCTGAATATTCAGTGAACCCTTTTGCCAACTTTCCTGGGAAAATGATCACAAAAGAGCTTTAGCGGAGTGTCTTGTTGAAATTCTGCATATACCTCAAATCAATTAGACACCAATGGAGTCTGAGCAAGGTCAGCTCTTTTCATAGCTTACAAAAAGAAAGGTTGAGGATTCCTAAAGTAGAAGACCATAATATATTGCTAGCAAATGAGTCCCAAGAGGAAGCCCTATCTTTAACCTAGTATGTTATACAATTCATATAATTCTGTATTAATTTTTCTGACCCAAGGTGAAATCTGTGTCCAGGGTATGATGTAGTTAATTCTAATAAAAAGTGACAGGGTTCTTGTTTCTGTTTGACATTTTCTAAATGATTCTGAAAGCCTTTGACTTGTCTAGCCTATGTTAATGAACCATCTGGTACACTCCAGTGACTGCCAAAATAATCTTCCCTACTAGAAACTCTCTAAAATATATATTTCACTGACTAATGATCTTTATAAAATGAAATCATTGTCCTTTGGGTGGAATACCAGATAAGAATGGTGCCCTTTAACCTGAATATGGTTTCTGAAATCCAACACTGATTTTTTTTTTTTTTTTTTTTTTTTTTGGTATTGTACAACAGGGGCATTTACATCAGTACGGCAGGTACAGTTTGTTCACTCTGCCTCTGTTTGATTATCTTCTATACAGCAAGTTCAAGCTCTGGAAATGCTGGTCAGAGCATTTGCCAGTATATTAACTCCTCATTATTTGCTTCCCTGCGTAAAAATTACTCTGATGGCACTGTCTTTCAACGTGTCTGGAGAATGCAGAAGTTATTCTAAAGCTTGCAAATTAGAATGCTGCTATAATGCAGAAAGAGTGAAGTGATCAAAGTGCTCTTGCTGGGGGAACTTGTGTTGGTTGGTGTTTGATCATTTATACCATCAGTAGAGTACTGTAACAGTTTCTTGTAATGCTAAAGCACGGTGATACTAAGTATAACTATGCTGCTAATTCACTTTGAATAAGGACAAATCTGCTCTTCTGTGGATGTTCTTGGAGCACAGAAGATGGGGAATTTGGCAGAATTTGGTTCATTGTAAATGCCAGCCTTTGATTGGAGGGGAAATGAGCGTTTTCCTTTACAAAACAGGAACACACGTTGGTCCCCCTATCCATCAGCAGCCTGAGAAGCTGCGTAAATTGGGTCTCGCTGCACCTTTTCCTAGCAGTGCTTTAAATAGAGCAAATACTGGTTCCTGCACATAACTGTATGCTGGAACACGAGGGAAATGGTTGGAGGAGTCAAACATTTTCTTCAGGACAAGAGGATAGGAAGGATGCCAAGGATTGCAATGGAAGCCCAGGGTAGCGCACACAGCCTCCAGGGCCCGAGCGACAGGCTTTGAGCAGGACCTCTCTGGAGCGTGCTGGCTGCACCTCAGGTTCACACTTGCATGAGCTGGGGTGAATGTTTCCTGCTGTGGTCGTTCCTGCCTGCCTCTTTCCTGTCCCAGTTTCACTGTGGATATGAAGCTAGTGGCTCCCGGATTTGTTTGGGAACTAGGGACGCGACCTCCTTCCAAATTTTCCTAGCTGGCTGAAGGCACTTGCTAGCAATACTTAAATTATGATGGCTGTCCGACAAGAATTGTCTGAACTTTGCATTATCCAGAGTGAAGAGAACTGGAAACTTCAAAGCTGCTATGCCTGGTCCCTTAGCTATTCAAACTCATTTATCCAGTCTTTTTGCCAGTATCTCTGGAGATCTGTGGATAATCATGTTTTCACATATTGCACTGGACATTTTCTTACACAAAATATAGCTGTTTATTATTTTACATACCTACATAAAAATCCCAAGGTAATTTGTAGCGAGTGTAACCTGGTTTAAAAATTGGGTGTTCTAAGCATATTTTATAAAGTTAAGAAAGGAACAATATCAACTATCACAATTATTTTAAATACGTTGCTTTCAGATGCAAAATGCAATCATGAATGAATTGTTAGAACACAAGAAATTCCCACAGAAAACAGGGACTATGCTGGAGATTAAGCTGTATTAAACAGCAAGATAAAACATGTAATGATTTCAGAATCAGTATTTCAAACTTTTTTCCCCTGTTGTGAAAATAACTTTAAACATCAAAAATTTTAGAAACTGTTAGCTGATTCAACCCCCTTTAAATTCAAAGTGCATCTTTCTGTTGCTGTCTGTCTGTTTTGAATCACGCTGTGAGGTTAAATTGTGCTGACTTCTTGGAAAACCAGATCCATTCTTATTTTTACTCTCTGTCTAAATGCTACTGCATGGAATATATATTTATTTGCAACATCACAATATCAATTTTTATAAAGATTAAGAAGAAACAAAATCTGAGAATTGCAAATTTTCTGTATTTTCCTGCAAAAGTGGTGAATTCAACATATGTTTTAAAGAGATGCATTCTGTCTTCAGCTGTATTGATATCATAATCCAAGTCAAAAGGAGGGATAATATTTTATCTATATTACCCCCATATACAGGATTGGTGGCTGGCAGTAAGATGGTGTATAGGTGTTCCTATACGCTTGTCAGCTATGTGGCCTAGCTGAATTGCATAGAAATCGCAGAACTACAGTGAAAGAAGGTCTATGTTGGTTTTTTTTCCTCATCTCAGTAGACAGTTCTTTAAATACTCATATATGGCAACATAAGCACTGAAGTCAGATGCAAAAACAGGTCCAATCCACACTAACAGTAAACAAAAAATAGTTCTGGGGCTTCTGTACCATGTCCAGTCTGAGGAAATACTTTTAATTTTTCCTCTATCAGATTCTTAATATTTGTGGTAAGGCTCAGTGCTTGTAAACAAGAGGTTATTAGTTAACTGGTGCAAATATGTAAAATTTTCCTGACTGCTTCTCTACTGAATCAGATACTCATAGTCCAAATGATTACAGTTTAGGACATCACCACACAATTCATCTGTATGTAGATCTTTCCAGAACTGCAATCATAATGGTGGGGATGTAGAGGCGGCGTGATGATCGATTGTGTATTTTGGAGTGAGTCTTCATGTAATAACTAAGATTTTTGGATATGACTTTTGATAAGTGCTCTCATTTTGTACATTAGTAAATGCTACAAGTTGAACAGAAGGAGAGAAGTCAAAGGATATGTGCTGAGACCACTGTGTAAGGTTCTGTTGTCACATCTCAAGCTCTCATATGATGTATTGTATACTGTTAAAAACCAGGTTTGCTGAACACATAGTTGCAATATAAATTACATAGTTATTTTTTGAGAAAGAATCACAAACTCTAGCTCTAATAAAGATGAATAACAACAATGGAAAACATGTGAATATAAAGTTATTTCCAGTAGCTGCAACTTCTGCAGGTAGAACAAGAAATGCTCTACCGTTTTCACTTCTGGTACTTAGTATTTAGCTGATAGCGACACAAATGTTATGAAATAACAACTTTGGTTTGTAAGTAGATGGTTTTCCTGTGCTTTTGGTTTGTTTTTGTTCTTGGTATTTATTATATAACTCTGGTTAAAGGTACGTGATATAGTTTTCCAAGTATTTCCTTTTTGATAAATATCCTTTGAATGCTAATGAGTTAACTTGGTGAAACATCAAGCAACGCTGGTGTAAGTCTGTTGAAGGCAGTGGTGTACAATGAGCATGAAATCTGCTACTGATGTGTGCAGCAGACCCGTCTTTTACATTTTCATGTAATTCTTCATTCCTGTCTGGTTTTTAGAATTGGAATGTCTCTTATCAATCTTTACATCGGTTAGTAACAATTTAAAGTACACATGTTTAAGCTTAATGCAAGAAATTCTTTTCTGAGGTTTAGATGCTTGTAAATTAAATGAGTAGGAATAGGTCCCCCCCTCCCACCCACACACCCTTTAAATCCTAGCAGCTAGAAAAAGTGTTTTGTGTTGCTACAGTAAGTATCAGTCTCTTATCTCTTCTACTTTATTCACTCAGGGACTAATTACCAACTTTTTACATGAAACAGCCTTACTGTGCGCTCACAGTGGGGCGCACATCTTTTTCTATCCTTATTGGAAAGTAAACCCTTAGGTCTTCTGGAATATATTATATGTTTTATAAGAAATAGCAATTGCTTTTCTGTCAAACAAAGAATTTTTGTTCTCTATAGCTTACTTTTGACGATTAAGACAAAAACAGTATTATAGTATGTCAGGATCTGCTCTGCAGTCACTGTAAAGGTCTGCCAGAATTCCCAGAAATCCCCCCCCATTTTGATTATTTTCTGCATCTGCTATAAAGCTGTGCGTTAAGCTGAAACTGTGTGCAACATTCAGCCCGAGGAGAACACTTTTGCATATTTTCCCCAAAAATGGGTCTGGTCTTTAGAGGGGAAAAATATTTAGGTTTCAGAGAGATTTTCTCTCTCTTATATTCCAGACATGAAATACTGAAGATTTGGTGGTCTGCTAATCTGCAGAGAGCTTCCCTTGGTTTGGGAATTTTGAAAAGAAAAATGAAACAGAATGAGAGATTTAAATTTGAAAACCAGTAACTCCTTAGGAGCAGCGTAAATATTTTCCAAAGAAAGCGGGTTAAATTTTACTGCTCGCGTCTTTTGTCAGATACCTTTTCTACATGAAGCAACGAAGAGGCGCATGCACACAGCTCAGCAGCCTCTCTGCATTTTGCACCATTGCAAGTCCTGGTATTGCAAGGATGGAATAAGGTTGGTGTTTAGGCTTCTCCTTGGGGAGAAATTTCTCACCTTCATAAGGCTGGAAACAGTCTTACAGATACTCCAGGCAGTAGGACTCGATATCAGCCCAGGGTTGAGCTTCCTCACCCTGAATGGCCTGACAAGCCCCATCATTTAAGGACTTTATTAAAACCC